ATGATGGGGGTGGGGGGGGCCACGGGGCCATGGTGCTCCCGTAGAGACGGAATCCTCCCTTCCTCTGCCTGTTCATCCTACTTGGACGATGCCCCCCTGAACTGGGGAGGGTCACTCGCTTTCCTCAGACAATACAGATGCTAATTTCTTCTAGAAACACCCTGACAGACACACCCAGAAACCATATTTTGCCAGATCCCTCGGCAGCCCTTAGCCCAGTCAGGTGAACACATATGATTAACCATCACAAGCAACATCTATTTGCAGGATACTCCCAAATTCACGGGCTTCACTAGTGACTCAGACAGGGAAGAATCTGCCTGCAATGCGGGAGGCCTGGGTTTGATCCCTGGGTCAGGAAGATCCCCTAGAGAGGGAATGGCAACCCACTCCAGTATGCTTGCTGGAGAATTCCATTAACAGAGGAAACTGGTGGGCTACAGTCCATGGAGCTGCGAAGAGTCGGACAGGACTGAGCGACTTTCACTCTCCGAATTCACATCTCCTGCCCAGATTTCTGTCCCAAACCCTGGCCCCCGGCACCCCATTGTCTGTGAACATGTCTAGCAGGTTCTCCCCACGTTAACCCTCATCTCGGGCAGCCACAGGGAGCAGCAACTTGAAGTGGGATCTCAGTTCCCTGGGAATCAAACGCAGACCACGGCAGTGAGAGCGCCAGACCCTAACCGTTAGACCACCAGAAGCTAGTGGATAGCAGCAGGGCCCTGGCACCTGCCTGCTTGAAGAAAGAACTCAGCAAAGAGACGAAAGCAGTGAGGCAGGGAAACTGTTTATTGTGGGAGAAGGTACCTGTAGAGAAAGCACAAGCAGACTGAGAGAGAGATGCACACTTTGGGGCGCTTTAAATCCCTCGACTGAAGAATTGACTGCTTTTGATCCAACCAGTCCAACGTAAAGGAAGTCAGTCCCGGATATTCTTTGGAAGGACTGATGCTGAAGCTGAAGCTCCAATCCTGTGGCCACCTGATGCGAAGAGCTGACTCATTGGAAAAGACTCTGATGCTGGGGAAGACTGAGGGCAGGAGGAGAAGGGGACGACAGAGGATGAAATGGTTGGTGGCATCACCGCCTCAATGGACATGAGTTTGAGCAAGTTCTAGGAGTTGGTGATGGACAGGTAAGCCTGGCGTGCTGCAGCCCATGGGGTCGCAAAAAGTCAGACACGACTTAGCAACTGAAAAACAACAACAAATCACTTACTTGGGGAAGTCCTTCTGGGCTTCCTCTGGCCCTGAGTCCATGCCTTGTCTGATGCAGGGCCCTCCTGTGTGCATGCACATCTTTTAGCCAAGATGGATTCCAGCGCAAGGGGCTCTGGGCCGTTGGTAGAACATATTATGGCCTAGCATCCCCTCCCTTGAGGACCCCTTCTGTGCATGTCTAGTCTGGGGGTCTTCCTGACCCCAAGAATGAGAAGTATGTGGTCTCTCTGTCTCTTCCCTATGCAGGGCTCAGCCACTTGCTGTTCCTGCCATTCCCGTTATCTTAAAGTGTCCACAGGAGACAAAGCCTGACTGCCTATCCTGTTCCTGTTATTATGTCTATTTTTAAAATGTAAACAGGAAGCTAGAGGTAAATGTCTAAACTGGGACCCATCTGTCTGCTGCCTCGAACCCAACCACACCTTCCCCAGGTGAGCTGATAGACATTCCACCCTTCAGACCAGCCGAGCATCCTCAATGCTCCTCATTTGCATGCGCCCAGATCAAAAGAAGGATCTGCCTTTTCATCCCCTCCACTGCACCTGGTCCAAGTCCCCTCACCTCTCATTTGGATCATTGAGGGGTCCCTTGGATTCTACCTGGTGATTCTTTTAAAATGTAGCTCAGAGTTCACAGTACCATTATTCATAACGACAAAAAAAGGCAGAAAAAAACTGAAAGGTGCATCCACTGATGACGGAATAGACAAAGGTGACCCACCCATACGATGGGATACTATTGACCCATTAAAAAATGACTTTTCTGGTGATTCATTTGTTCTGAGACTCCCCTGATGGCTCAATGGTAAAGAATTTGCCTGCAATGCAGGAGACTCAGATTCAGTCCCTGGGCCCGGAAGCTCCCCTGGAGAAGGAAACAGCAGCCCACTCCAGTGTTCTTGCCTGGGAAGTCCTACGGACAGAGGAGCCTGGTGGGCTACAGTCCATGGGGTCACGAAAGAGTCAGACACGACTGAGTGACTAAACAGCAACAACAAGAAAACCAGTTGTTTTGTTGAAAGTTTTGTTTTAGGTTCAAAAGATTCATTAACAAAAGAAACCATTCATTACACACAAGTAAACAATTTCAATCTTTTTATAGATATTTGGCTTAATCTCAATATACGGTCATTAAAAGAAAAGAAATAGAAACAATAGAGAGAAGAAACAGCGCAGCACACACATCACCAAATTGGGCCAAAAACGTACCTCCAGACTTGAACGGCGCTGGGAAGTCCCTCGTTAAATACAACTTGGAGTCCCAGCCGGGAAAAGGTCCTGGGCAGTGTGTCTATCCCGTGGATGAGACTTCAAATTCCAGTTTGAGGGGGCTCCCGCTTATAATCCCACTCAGTAAACGGGTATCATCATCAGTTTGCCTGCAAAAATGCAGCTCTGGTTTTAACTTTTTTACATTATGGTTTGTTTCACCTTGTGAGTCATAGGATTTCATTAGACCCTGGGGGCCTGGCCAGACCCTCAGGGCCTCAGGAGATCCAGGGACCCACTCCCCTTGTTACCTAAGGGCCACGTGATTGGCTGTGCGCACGTGCAGGCACAGCATCTGGGCAGTATCCAGGCGGGTCAGAAGCAGACCAGAAGCCTGGTCTCCTACTTCTGAAGCCTGAACAAGACTTTCCTCCACTTTAATTCCCCTAATACCAGTGCTTAAGAATCTGCCTGCCAACGCAGGGGACATGGGTTCAATCCCTGATTTGGGAAGATCCCACATGCCGCAGGGCAACTAAGCCCATGTGCCTAATTTTTGTGTTAGCCACTCAGTCGTGTCCAACTCTTTGTGACCCCATTGACTGTAGCCCACCAGGCTCCTCTCTCCATGGAATTCTCCAAGCAGGAATACTGGAGTGGGTTGCCATTCCCTTCTTTAGGGGATCTTCCCAACCCAGGTATAGAACCCTGGTCTCCAGCGCTGCATGTGAATTCCTTACCATGTGCCTAGAGCCTGCAATAAAGAGTAGCCCCCACTCGCAGCAACTAGAGAAAGTTTGTGCACGGAAATGAAGACACAGCACAGCCAAAAATAAAGTAAAAAGAGGGCTTCCCAGGTGGCACTTTAGGGGTAAAGAATCCACCTGCCAATGCAGGAGACCCAAGAGACATAGGTTTTTCTTCCTGGAGAGGGAAGATCCCCTCAGGGAGGAAAGGGCACCCCACTCCACAGTGTGTGGTTCCGCTTACATGAAATGTCCATAATAGTCAAATCCAGACAGACAGAAGTCAACTAGTGGTTGCCAGAAGCTCGAGAAAGAGTTGGGGGGGGGGGGAGTGACTGCTGATGAGTACCAGGTTTCTACAAAGGTGATGAAAATATTCTAAAATTAGCTAACGGTAGGGGTTGCACAACGTTATAAATATGCTGAAAACCACTGAAGTGCACACGTTTTAAAATAGGGACATGTCTGTCCGTCTGACTCAGCTCTAGGTTGCAGCAAGAGGGGTCTTTGCTGCGCCACGTGGGGTGTTCCTGCCGGACTGCAGACTCTCTAGTGGTGGCAGGCAGGCCCAGCCACCTCCCAGCATGCGGGCTCTTGCTCCTCCGACCAGGATTCCAACCAGCGCTCCCTGCACTGCAAGGCAGGCTCAACCACTGCACCACAGGCGAAGTCACTGAGCTGTACACTTTACAAGGGTGAGTTGCAGGGACATGAATTATACCTCAATTTTTCTCCAAGATGGCCTCAGGCTTCCACTCACCCTCTGCAGGGGCTCAGGGAAGGTAAAGCCAGGTTCTGACCTGGCTCCTCCTAATTCGCCCCCTCCCCTCACCGACCACCCCCTGCCTTCCCAGTTCTGCCCCAGCACCCTGCGCCCTCCTCTGTGCTTCTGCTCTTGCCGGGGGGCCCTCACACCCCCTACACCCCTCTACCTGGCCCCTCACGCCTGCACACTGGGGGCCTGCTCCAAAGCCGCCTTCTCAACGTGTAGAGACCCCCACCTCCACACTCCCCACCCCAACCACACTGCCCCCGCTGCCCCCCGGCCCCATGCTCTTGGCCCCTGGCTCTGACTTCTGACTTAACTGCAGTTTCTTCTCTGCATGATGTAACCTTGTGCACTGACGCTGCAAGCTCCGGGCGGGCGCGTGAGGTCTTCCGCACTTTGTTCCCGAATTTGTCTCCAGGACCCACTCCGTGGTACACAGTAGGCGTCGAGAAACGCTAGTAAGCCTTCTACGCAATAACGACGGTAACTTTAGAAATCAAATTTTTATTAAATTTTAAAAACTAAATAAAGCTAATAGTCTTTCCTGCACACAGATCTGCAGGGGGCACTAAAGGACATTTGTTGCTAAATCGCTAAGTCCTGTCTGACTCTTTTGCGACCCCATGGACCGTGGCCCCCAACCCCCCCCCCCCACCCCACCTAGCGCCAGGCTCCCCTGTCCAGGGGATTTCCTAGGTAAGAACACTGGAGTGGGGTGCCATGTCCTTTTCCAGGGGATCTTCCCAACCCAGGGATCGAACCCGCCTCTCCAACATTGGCAGGCTGATTCTTTACCACTGTGCCACCAGCGAAGCCCAAACGACATGCATTTCCACAAATGTTATAAATAAATTCACTCATTATTATGAGCACCCGCTGCGCAACGTTCCAAAGCAAACGGAGGCCGAGTGCGCTCTGGGTTTAGGGCTTGGGACCCCGAAAGCTGCCGGGCCTCCCAGGGAGAACCTCGTTAGGGAGCATGGACGGAGATCTTCCGGGTCCCCGGTCAGGGGCGGCGCCTGGCGTCGGCAGGGAGCCTCCCGGGCGGAAATAGCTACGGTTGGGCTTGCAGCGCATGCGCGAGTCCCGGGAGTTCCCGCGAGAGGGACCGGCCCGGCGGGATCCTTCCGGCGACGGGACCTCGGGCTCGCTGAGCGGCATCCGCTGCCACTAGGCTGAGTCCCGCGGGGACTTCCGCCGCCATGGACCCGTTCCTGGTGCTGCTGCACTCCGTGTCGGCCGGGCTGTCGGGCAGCGACCTGGCCCAGCTCAAGTTCCTGTGCCGGAACTGCGTTAGCAAGAGGAAGCTGGAGCTCGCGCAGAGCGGCCTGGACCTCTTCGCCGTGCTGCTCGAGCAGAACGAGCTGAGCGCCGAACACACCGGGCTCCTACGCGAGCTGCTCCGCTCCCTGAAGCGCGCGGACCTCCTGCGCCGCCTGGACGACTTCGAACGGGGCGCGGCGGGCGGGGCGGCGCCGGAGGAGCGAGGTGGGGACGGGGACGGGGACGGGGGCCGGGGGGCCGGGCCGGAGGAGCGGGGTAGGGGCGGGGGGCGCCGGAGGAGCGAGGTGGAGACGGGGACGGGGACGGGGACCGGGCCGGAGGAGCGGGGTAGGGGCGGGGGGCGCCGGAGGAACGAGGTGGAGACGGGGACGGGGGCCGGGGGCCGGGGGGCCGGGCCGGCCCGGAGGAGCGGGGTAGGGGCGGGGGGCGCCGGAGGAACGAGGTGGAGACGGGGACGGGGGCCGGGCCGGCCCGGAGGAGCGGGGTAGGGGCGGGGGGCGCCGGAGGAACGAGGTGGAGACGGGGCCGGGGGCCGGGGGGCCGGGCCGGCCCGGAGGAGCGGGGTAGGGGCGGGCGGGAGGCGTGGGGGTCGGGCCGCGCCGGAGCAGCGGACCCTGTGGGGCCCTGTTGGCGGGGTCAGCTGTCGATCTTCCAAACGCCCAACCTTTTCCGGGTTCGGTTTCCGTGGGTTTTCCCTAAACAGCCCCGGGAAACGGGAACGTGCCCGCTTTGCGGACAGGAGAACCAAAGCTCAGAGAAGTTAACCTGGCCTAAGTTGCAGAGCGTGGACAACCACCGCCCCCCGCCCATCCAGCCATCCAGCCATCCAGCGTCAGTGCTTTCTCCTCCACCCCTCTCCCTCCGGGAACATTAGAAGCTATTGAACAGAAAAAGACGTTGCTGACCTCCCGGGCGGGACAGGGGTGAAAGTACTCCAGAAGAGCCTCAGCAGGAAGGACGGGCTGATAAGGGGCTGCTTTTGTATAAGGGTTAAGAGCGGACTCTTCCTGGCTCTGCCGCTCTGGGGCTGGCTGTGTGACCTCAGGAAGTGACTTGCACTTAACTTCCCTGGGCCTCCATTTCCTGCTTTCTGCCAGTGGTCAGTAACACAGGTGCACCTCATGGGGCTGGAGGAGTTGGCACACAGGCTGACAGTGTATCAGGGGGTTGTGGCTGGAGGTGAAGCTTTGCTTCCAAGAAGCGTTTTGTCCTTACTCTCCACCCGCCTTCTGTTGTCTGTAGTCTGATCTCAGGAGTGACTTCTCAGCAAATGAGGACGTAATAGCCAGAAACTGAAGACTGGTGTCAGTCGGAGCATCTTCCAGAGTAGCAAGAGGGCTGTTCAGGGCTGCCGCACAAATGACTGTATCTCAGTGGCAACTGAGATAAAGCAACAGAATCTGATGCTCTTACGTTTCTTGGGCCGGCAGTCAGACCCAGGTGTCAGTAGGCCATGCTCCCTCTGAGAGCTCTAGGGGAGGTCCTTCCTCCCTCTTCTGGTCCCCTCTTGGGGGACTCCAGGCATTCCTTGGCTTGTGGCCACACCCCTCCAGTCTCTGCCTCCAGTCTGGCACATAGTCTTGTCAGTGGATTTAGGACCCACTTGAATAATCTAGGATGACCCCCCCCATCTCAAGATCCTCAGCTTACTCACATCTACGAAGACTCTTTTCCAAGTAAGTTCCCATTCACAGCTCCAGAGATTTGACAGGCGTGTACCCTTTAGGGCCCCCCATTCAACTCCATTACAGGGTGGGATAGAGGCACAACTCTACTCTGGCCTGAGTGGGCGTCTCCATTACAGCATAGCCCAACCACTAAGTGTTCAGAGCAGGCCGTGTCTCGTGGGTGGTGTTTCAGGGTGTGGCTGGCACGGGCAGCGTGGGGTTTTCTGTGCCCTCCCTGGCCTTTCTGCTGAGGGATGGCCTCCGCCTCTGCGGAAGGGCCTTTCAGGTCCTCAGCACCAGGAGTCCCGTCAGCCAGTGTGGGGTTACCTGCTTTCTAAACAGCTCCCCAGACCGCGGGTTACCACTCTGCCCCTTTCCCCCCCAGACCTGCAGGCAGCGATGGAGATCATCTGTGATAACGTGGGGAAGGACTGGAAGAGGCTGGCTCGTCACCTCAGCGTGTCTGACATCAAGATCGAAGCCATCGAGGAGAAGTACCCCCGAAACCTGGCGGAGCAGGTGAGGGAGCTGCTGAGGGTCTGGAAGAGCAGCGCGAAGCAGGACGCGGCTGTGTCCCGCCTGGTGGGCGCGCTCCGGGGCTGCCAGCTGAACGTGGTGGCGGACCTCATCGAGGAGGACCAGCGGGCCCAGACCCACCAGAGCGGGAGCACCGACCCCGGGCCCCTCATGGCCTGGGACTCGGGCTCCGCCGCCCCAGGAGCCTCCTGATGACCCAGCAGCTCTTCCGCAGGGACCAAGGGCGGCTGCACAGTCCTGACCACATCGCGTCCGTGCCAGCCCCGTGAAGACTCAGGGAGGCGGCTGTGGGCCCGCGCTTCTCTGTGCCAGGCAGGCGGGGGGCACCATGGTCGCCCCAGGAGGGCGACACCGTCGTCCCCATTTAACAAGTTCCTCCGGAGGGCGTGTGGCACCGCACCCGGTACTAAGGAGGGGTCTGTGAAACCCGGTGCTGTCACTGGTGCTCCTGGACACGAGAGGACGTGCAGCATCGAGGAGCTGGGGCGCTGGGTTGGCGTCCAGTGCTGCCCAGCTCCAGAGCCCATGCTTGGAAGCCCTGGCTCGTTCTCCTGCCCCTGCACTTGCCAAAGGCTTGGAGGCTGGTGGTGCCGACCGTCTCCAGGGCGGGTGGCGTAGGGGTGAGGCGCGCCCTCACAGGGCTGGGAGAGCCAGCCTCCTGCCGTGGGGCCAGGCGGCGAGCACTCGGCACGTGCTGGTTCTCAGGCGTATCGTGACTCCAGTTCCACGGTGCATCGCTGAAAGCCACTTTTTCTGATAACAAAACTGGCAAGGGAGCTGAATCCTGTGATTCTAAGAAGCAACTTTTCTTCCTGCTTCTAAGGTAATCCTATTGAAGCAAGTGCCTTTCCAGAGGAACCCTCCACAAAAGGAGGTTTCAGCAGACAAAGAGGACAAAGAATTTCCTCCTCCCACTGAGGGTGATTTTCTTTTACGTATTCTCGGAAGTCCCACAGAAGCCAGTTTCAGTGTCCCTTGAAGGTCATCACAGGCCCAGCCTGTGAGGAGGGGGCCTGCGTTTTCTACCAGCTCCAGGGACCATGCCAAAGTGGGTGTTTACCCCGGGGAGCCGTGATCTGCCAGAGGGCAGCGCTCACCTGCTGTGGGCACTGCCTCCCTGCAGGAGGCATCCGAGAGCCCAGCCTCATGCCTTCTAGCTGTGACCTTGGGAAAGCTCCCGACATCATGCCATGCCACCTTGACCTTGGGTTGCCAAGACCCTAGCAGCACTCCCCGCCCGTCTGTGGGCCCAGCCTCCAGCAGATACTGACGGCGTCAGGCAGTGCTCGCTGAGCCCAGGCAGCAGACAAGACAGAAGCGGCCCTTCTCGGTTGACTCCGAAGCCTGGCTGGGAACACGGGTGTTAACCATGCATCACAAGTGTGGGAGCTGAGCCCATTCAGTCCCAGAGCCATGTGGTCCGGCCCAGGGTGATGTGCTGAAGAGGCTTTGGGTCAGGGCGAGTCTGTGTGTAGTAGTAACATAATCACCACCAATAAAGGTGGGGCTTGGCCGATGGGTTGCCTTGGGAAATGGGTGGTCTGGGAAGTGTGTCCACGTGTCTTGACCAGAGGCAGACTATGAGATGGTGCCCGTCCCTCGTGATTTATGGCAGACACTACTGCCAACGGGTAAGGATACTGAGACCTGGCCTGCATCCTTGCAGTTCTCACACTGGGGAGGGACTGCCCCTCCGTCACTCCAGGTGTTCTCACGGACATTCGGACAACACGTGCTTACAGCACCCAGCGCTTTCCATTGCCTGGGCCTGGCGCTGCCACAGGCCTACTCGCGTGCTGCATCCTCGGGGCTGAAGCATTGTCCCCCAGACACTGACATCTGGGACTGCCCTCCTGCCCTGCACAGTGAGGCAGTTGGAACAGCCCCAGTAGACCTGTCATGTGACCTAATCATACCACCCGAGGCACAGATCTGAGGTCGGAGCAGGGAAGCGCCTCCTACAGGCACTGCTGTCGGCCTCCCCAGGGTCTGGAGGTGGCCTGCCCTGGTACCTGTGGGCCACTGGGGCAAAACCACAGAGCCTGGTGGCAGGTGAACCTGCACAAGGCTCTGCCCCCAGATGGTGGGGCTCCAGGCCAGTGGAAGCATCCGTGTGTTCCCCTAGCAGTCAGGCTTCCGCCGTAGCTGGCCTCTAGGCACTGAGATGATGGCGCAGGCTGGCGGCACTGAACTTCCCCAGCATGGCAACACGAAAGGACAGTGCAAGTGTACAGAGAAAGCAGTGGGGCCTGTATGGGCCCCGGGGGTGGACGGTACACAGTGTCAGAGGGCAGCTTTCTGGACAGTGCGGGCCCCGGGGGTGGAAGGCACAGAGCCAGCATCAGGGCAGCTCTCTGGACAGTGGTCTTCGTGTGTGCTGTCCATGTCCCCACTTCTGTGCTGTGGCTTTCGGGTGTCTGCCAGATGCGGCCCTGGGTGTCACAGGGACTGTGGTGGGGCGCTCCCCTCGTGGCTCCACCACTCTCAGAAGAGGCCGTTAGGTAAATGGCAAGTGCTTGTCTGCATCTGCAGTGCTGTTCTTAACTTGAAGACAAACTGATGTCTCCCAGCGCCCAGAGGGCTGTCAGACACTGTTCTGCTCTGCGCGGTCTGACGCTTGACTTTGCTGTGCATAGAGGGCCCTTAGTTCCCCAGCCAGGGATCGAATCCGTGTCCCCTGCGGTGGAAGCACAGCCCTAGCCACTGGACTGCCAGGGGAGTCCTGTCCTGGGTCTTCTCCCCTCCTAAAACAGACATGTTTGATCAGAACCGGGACCTGGGGGCCAGTTAGCGACGCCCCACCCGACAGAGCTACTGCAGTTTCAGCAAAGATTATGGCAGCTTTACGAGAAATCAGCCTTCTGTCATGTGAAGTTTTTCTGACAAATGCACACAATCGTGCACACAGGCAAACAATTGACTTGGAAGCAAAAGAGGCACTTTTGCTCTCAGTCCTCCCCTGCGGAGGGAAAGGGTCCAAGTGTGTGTGCTTTGCCGGAGATTGCCGGCAATGAAGGGGTGTTGAACAAGTGTCTCCTGAGATGAAGGGTCATCCCATCTCCCAGCCCCCCAGGCGTCATCTCCCCTCCTCACCATGCTGCCCCCAGCCCTGCTGCTGGGCGAACACAGCTGCGGGTCCCTGCGTCCTCACGCCCTCCAGACTTCCCTTGGGGAGTAGGGGACTGACAGTCCCTCCTCCATCTTGCTGTCCCCACTGGCTCCCACCTGCTCCCCTTCCTCCTTGACACCCCACAGTCACCCCGAAACCAGACTGCGGAGTGGGGGCCCCAGGCCCCACCCTCTCCCCCTCCCTGACCCCTCCCCGTCCCTCTCTCAGGGTCCCGGGGCTGACCCTGCTGTGCGAGGGGGCAGGTCACAGGTTCCTGGGATTACTTCGTGGGCACCACAGGGCCAGCCCACCCACCACAGACAGACTCGGCGCCCCACCTGAGAGGCGTGTGCCCGTTGCTGCGCCTGGCACCACAGTGCAGTGGCCGCCCTCGGGCCCCACCCAGGCCCCCTCCCTGGGGCGCGCGCTCGCGTGGAGCAGCAGCGGCTCCCTGGACAGCGCCTCCCTCCTCCCCGGGCACAGCCTCGCCCCTCTCAGGACAGCCCCGGCCCAGCCCTCCTACAGACCCGGCTCTGTGTTCTTAGAGACCGCAGGCTCTCCACACATTTCTCAGTTACATACTTTTATTTCCATGATAACTACTCTGAGTCATCTTGCTGGCAGCTCCTAGCCACAGGATTTCTGTGTGCATTGCATTTTGGAGCCAAGACAGGCAAGCCTGACGCAGGGTTGCACGTGCTTAGCGAAAGTGGCCAGTCACCCACCATCCGCTGAAAGGCGAACCTCTTTTACGAGAACTTGCAATTGAAAACCATTTGCATCACACAAGCCCTCAGCTCCCTAAGTCAGTGACAGTTAAAGACTGTGGCAGGAGTCCCACGTGGGTGCCAACCACGTTCGTTGTCACAGGGGGAACAGAGGCCAGGTCAGTGTGTGAGCGGGGTGCCCATCAAGTGAAGGCTGACACGGAAAAGCGTGGGCCATTTGGTCTCCCAGGCGGGGCCATGCTCCCCATCCCACACCTGCCTGGTGACAGTCTAGACACAGATGATTTTGTTTCAGCACGTGTTGATCCATGGGACAGAAGTTCTGTCTGAGGAGATGACAGAGTTCTCGACAGATGGGGTGATGTGGACGACACTGGGTGAAAAGGGTGAATATTCTATTGTGTGTTACTGTACTACAGTTCTAAAAATCCTATTTCACATTAACCATTTAGTTACATTATTAATCTAAATTGGTTTTCAAGTTTCTAATTTGAATTTTGTAGGCCTTTTATAAGTTACGAGGGCTAGAAGCATAAGTTTGTATCTGGCTTATGTGTGCATCAGAGCAACATTATTATAAATAAAAACATGCCCACCTCTGGGAGTCTGGGTCCCCATCACGCCTTCCAGGGGGGTTTCTGGCTGGAGAAACCCCTCTGCAGGGCCCCCAGGTCCTGGGTCCTGGTCCCAGCTTTGTGAGGAACAGAAGGGGCACCCAGCCCCAGGCAGCAGCTTCTTTAAATGCCCACCCCGGTGCCAGGGGGGCCTGAGACCCCGCTCTGACACCCAGTGTGATGGGGCCTCGCCCAACGCCCCCGACCCACAGTGGACCGCTGCTGCTGCGGCGTTGTCCTTCCCACCGGGCGCGCTTCCCCTTCCCTGCAGCCTCCAGAGCTGCCGAGGCTCACCGCGTGCTCGCTGAGCAGGGGAGTCCGTCGGCTGTGATGATAAAAGGCCAGGCCCAGCTCCCCAGTGCGGGGGGCCTCTCTGCCCGTCGGGTCCTGCGGTGATGGAGACCCAGCAGGCACCCCTTGGACCGCCTGGCCCCAACAAAGTCCAGCCAGGGAGGCCCCCACCCCCTGAATCGCCGCCGACCGCCCCAAGGGTCCCCTCCCCAGGCAGGGTTGAAGGCCCGTGCAGAAGAGCGCGCACGTCTTGGGTCTGAGTGCTCTGAAATGTGTGGTCTGCTCACACATCCACCCACACACCCAAGACTTCACTCGGTCGGTTCTCAGCAAAGGGCTGACAGCTCAGATGGGGTGGGGGTGGTGCCCACTCCCTTCCCTTGAGCTGGTGACCCCCCAGTGGAGCCCCAGCTCCCTGTCTCCCTGACGGCAACCCGCGCCCCCCCCCCTCAGCCAGTTGCTGCAGGGTCCACGGAGACAAGTGGTGATGAGTGGTTGGGGGTTACCGGCATGTGGTTAAGGTCACAGTGTCATTATGGTAATTATTCCCGAGTGACTGTGTGTGTTTCACATGACTTGCCTTTATACCAACTTGTCTCAGTATAAAACTCAGATCACACAGTCATTCCCCGAGGTCCTTGGAGGCATCAGATGATGCCTGGGGAGCCAGCTGCAGTGCCTCTCACCGAGAGACACGTGACCCAGGCCCCTCTTGCAAGAAAGCAGAGTCCGCTGTTCTCTGATCGCACCGATGTCATCTGCAGCCCAGACCGTTAGCCAGAGAACTGTGGAAATACAGGTGAATGTAAGTAGGAGGACGATACGGGCTTCCCAAGTGACGCAGTGGTAAAGAATCCGTCTGCAAGTGCAGGGGACACAAGAGACTTGGGTCAGATCCCTGGGTCGGGAGGATCCCCTGGAAAAGGAAACAGCAGTCCACTCCAGTATTCTTGCCAGAAAAAATTCCTTTGACAGAGGAGCATGGTGGGCTACAGCCCCGCAGGGTTGCAAAGAGTCGGACACGATGGAACACGGGGAAAGAGAGAAGTGGACAAAACTAGAGACTCCTCTTTCTCACACGATGGGGGGCCTTGTAGAGGCCAAGGATAACAGAATTAGTAAGAGCGATGTAATAGGGATGAAGAGAGCAGCGGCACTGAGAGGCATAGCGTCCCCTGGCGCCAACGACCCGGGTTCGAGTCCCGGCTCTGCTGCTTAGCGGCTCCATGGTGCTGAGAAAGTGAGCTCACCTACAAGACGTATTATTACACGACCTGCCTCAGAGCAGTCGGGTGCTGGGGGATTCCGTCAGTAGTCCAGAGAGCACAGGGCGGGTACAGGGACCCCTGCGCAGTCTGGTGACCACACGGGCATTTGTGTAGCAGACGGCGGAGCCAGGAGCAGCTAGCACCCCGGGTGTCCGAATCAACTTTTCCCACCTGAGTTCCGTCACACGTGCTGACACTTCTTTTTACAATTCTTGAAGACACTGGATTTTCTGATGCCCTGAAAAGCATCCTAGTGATCAAACGGGAATTTAGAACATAAAGATGGTGTGTCAAATCAGTGAGGGAAAAAATCCAGTCACTGGGGTTAGGACAACTGGGAAAGATCGTTGCATCCTTACCTTTCTCCTCCTACGAAGATAAATCCCAGGTGCAGACAAAATTTGGATTTTTTTTTTTTTTAAATAATGAAGAACCCTAGGAGAATTTATCATCTTGAAGAACGAGAGGGCTGTAAAATGAAAGACTGATCAATTGATCAATTCGACAGCTTAAAAAACTAAAAATGTCAACTTGTCAAAAATTATTATAAGAAACTGCCTGCCAATGCAGGGGACGCAGGTTCAATCCCTGGTCGGGTAGATCCCACATGCCACAGGACAACTACGCCCCCTTGCTGCAAGCACTAAGCCCACCCTCCCTAGAGCCCAGGCCCCGCAGTGAGAGAAGCCACTCCCACGAGAGGCCTGCGCACTGCAACTGGAGAGGAGCCCCCATTGCCCCGGCTAGCGAAAGCCTGAGCCCATCAGCAGAGGTCCAGGGCAGCCAAGATAATAATATATATACACACATATGTATGTTCTTTAGTGGCTAAGTCTTGTCCAACTCTTTTGCAGACCCATGGACTGTAGCCTGCCAGGTTCCTCTGTCCGTGGGATTTCCCAGGCAAGAAGACTGGAGTGGGTTGCCATTTCCTCCTCCAGGGAATCTTCCCAACCCAGAGTTTGAACCCAAGTCTCCTGCATTGCAGACAGATTCTTTTACCACGGAGCCACCAGAGAAGCCTGAAATAATATATATTATAAACAAGTTTAAAGACACGGCCGCTTGTCTTTAAAGGAAATGAATCTTTAAAAGCTAAAGGAAGTGAGGTCTAGGGTGAAGAGCCTGCCCAGCGTCATTCACTCATCACTCGTCAGCAAGTGTGGTGAGTTCCCAGTGCATACGGAGTAGATGTTACCAGGATGGGAGCCACTTCTGTCCCAGCAGGAGAGACGCGGTACCCACAGCAACCCCCCCCTCAGGAGGGGGACACTGAGCTGCCTCCGACACCCGCTGGGTCCCCGAAGCTGAGCTCTGAGTCCTTATAACTCTGAGCATCCAATGTCTGGACTCCTGCAGGGGATAAGGCCTCGCAGAGGAAGGGGTCGCGCCTTTGCCTGCAGGCACGCACTTCTTACTGGTATTGAACTCTCAACCCTGAGTTTCTTGTGAGTAAATTTGGGGGTACCCTGCCTTCCCCTGGGGCTTCCAGAGGACGAGGGCCTTTGGAGCTGGGTTTCCTAGGATTAATAGTTTGCCAGAGGGTGCGTGGTTTAGGCACAGGACAGCGAATGCAAAGGCCAGGAGGCAAGAAATTTGAGCGCTTGTTCAGGAGGCAGCAAGTAGGTGAGTGGGGCTGGTTCCAGACAGGTTCAGGGAAGTTACAAGAGGAAACAAATGTGCTGACGGGAATTGTCCCTTAGGAGGAAGGTGGCACTGGTTAAAGCTGTATGGCAGCTTCGCCTCTTGTTTTCGTCTCACAGAACCTCGAACTGGATCAGGGGAGGTGGTTTTCCCCTTTGACAGGGAAGGAAATAAGGTTGCACCGGAGCTTGGTGATCAGCACGAGGTCTCAAGGCAGGAGGCAGAGAAGTGAGGTCTCCCGTTACTCTGCCAGACCAACTGAGTCAGCCTGGCCGGCAGAACTTTCTAGTCCCCACACAGGCCCGGGAAAAGTGGCCCAGCTTGGGGTGGGAAGCAGAGCCAGGGGCTCCCGGGGAAGGCTGTGCCGTCTTCACCGCAGGGCGGGAGTGACCCCAAAAGCTAAAATAAGGCTGTGTGCTCCAAAAATACTCTACTCAAAACACTGCAGCGCTGGAAATAGGTCCATCCGCTGGCTTCCCGCCCGGGGACCAGGGCAGAGTAGGAGAGCCACACTTCTCTCACCACCCCTTTTTATTTGGGGCGGCAAGCCCTTGCCACCTGGAGGTGCCTCCGTCCACGGAACGCTTGCTCGGGGGAGTCTGGGCACAGACGCAGGTCACAGGGTCACAGGGTGCAGGGTCACAGGGTGCAGGTCACCCGCTGTCATGGTCTTCCTGTTCCAGGCCCTGCTCCTGATATCAGGGCGCAAGGGCAGTGGACGCAGACAAGGTCACGAGTCCCGCCCGCAACGGTGCACCAGAATGTCACTTACTCAGGACTGCCCCGGGCTTCGCCAGGCAGACCCCAGCAGCCTCTGACCTACCAGCCTCTGACCTGGCCCCCTTTTACTTCACCGCCTCAGCTCCAAGCCGCCTTTTTCTTAAACGCCATTGCAAGGCCCTGACCTCAGCTGCTCCTCCCAAAGCGAACAGGCAGGCTGGCAGGAACCTGGGGGGTTACCCAGGGCCCTTCTCAACAGGCCTGTGACCGCCATCCCCTACTTCACCCCCCACTCCAGCATCCACCCCCTCTCCCCCCCCAGCCTGGCTCAGACCCTCTCAGCCTCTCTTCTGGGACAAACTTCCTCCCTAAATCCCTGCCCCCACCAGGGTCTCCCCTGCTACAGGCCCTTCTCCACACCCCCAGGGCCTGAGATCCAACCTGATCCTGAGCTTACACACCCACTCCGTGTCTCTGTCTTCACAGCGGGTTTCCCGAGCGTCAGTAATCCCAGGGCCCGCCTGGCAGCTTGGGGGCGGGGGCGCGGCACAGGCGCTCTCTGGTTGCTGCGAGTGGTGACTGCTCTCGTTGCAGAGCGTGAGCTCAGTAGCTGGGGTGCACGGGTTAGATGTCTGGTGGCATGTGGGATCTTCCCACACCAGGGATCGGACCCGCCTCCCCTGCCTCGGCGGGTGGATTCTCCATCACTGGACCGCCAGGGAAGCCCCTCGCTGGCAATTTCTGTCTTTGCTCTGTGCCACCTGTTCTTTTACTTTATCTTTCCTCACCGAATTTTAAATGAAAAGGAATATAATTTCTCCATCACAAAAGGAAAGCAATACATGGCAGACATGGCGGGGGCCCTCAGTATCTGTTCATACCTTCTCACTTTACACTGCAGCCCTAACTGTTCACTCCCGGGATCCAGACTATATTTCCCAACCTGACTTGTAGCAAGGTATGGCCACTCAGCCGAAGTTCTACAGATGGGCAGAAGTGGTGATTGGATCATCCTAGAAGTATTTTTTTAAAAAGGGAAATGCATTCCCTTCTTCCTTCCTTCAAGCTGGAATGCAGACATGATAGATGGAGCATGGGCAGCTATATTGCACCATGAGGGAGTACAGTGACAAGAGAGAAAAAGGCTGGGTTCCTGGTGGTCATGGAACTTCCCTACCAGCCTTGGAAAGGTCACCTCAGGACTGCACTTGTATGAGAGTAATGCACGGAAACCTCTGTGACTTGGGGATTTCAGATGTTTGCCATAAACCTAATACCAGCTGAAACAGGGCATTAACTTGGAGTAAGCAGAAGGTGACTATAACAATGAGTGCAGTGAAAAATAATATTCTAAAACTGTTGATAGATTGAGCCACCCTTCAAGGCTCTGAACCCAGGAGCTGCTCTTTTTGTTAAAAAAAAAAAAGAAGAATAAAAAAAAGGAATTCGTCATCATGACCTTGA